AATTTTCTTGGTGAAACATCCGTCGTTCTTGTGAATGAAATGAACCAATTAACCATAAAATCATATTCTCGATTTACGTGATAAATATTTCATTCCATTAATCGATCGACTCCTCCCTGAGATTGTTTTTAAAATTGCAAAAGCTTTTCGTTGAAATTTCGTTGAGATAATGCATGGAATTTATTTATTTCTTGAGAAAAATTGATGGAAAAATTGTGTATCATTTGAAAGGTGAATGATTAAAAAAAGTGTCTCATACAAAAATTGTTTCGACGAAGACATTTCAATCCTTCTATGTACATATTAGTTTGATTACGATCAAATTTACAAAAGCTTGAAATGATGAAATGTTGTTTAGAATATTTCTAGATCACTCGGAAAGATAAATCCATCGCAATAATTAAGCAAAGTGCTCTCACGCCTCTGATAAAATTCTTTTTTGACGAAGAATTCTTTAATCCTTTTATACTTATTGGAAAAACAGGTGGCGAGGAATTAAACACGCAAAGCTCTCGAGTGGAGATGTTATGTTTCAACGGTTTCAAACTCTCTGCGAACCAAACAAGTATTGACATTTCGTGCTTTGCTGTTGTACCGGCTAAATATAGTTGTTCTATGGAATAATCGTTAACAACTTGTATTGCTGCTTCATCGACCGTTTCTCTCTCTTACCCTCTTTTTTTTTTAACTGATCATTCGTTTAACGGCAATGTTGTCCAATATTAATTAAACTTGCAAACGCGCAATACATTTGAATACGATATAATTGAACCTAAAAGTTCTAGAATTAATAAGAAAAGTAAAAATATTTAAAAGTATCGAATGGTTTTAAATGTAACAAATTTCGAAACTAAAATTTCCTTTTCGATCCATCAACGACCACCAACCGTTCCAGATCCGCGTTAAATTCACCATCCCCTGGCATCGTCCCTCCGTTTATCCGACGTATGCACTGCGACGTGACCTTAATGGAGCCCTGGAAACGCAGCTGCACCGGCCGACCACTAATTTGAGGTCTTTGTTAACGCAAGCGAGAAGCCCGTGCGTTGAGTGGCTTCTCTGGAACGGAATGAAAATCGACCTTTCAGGGGTGAAATCCTCCCTCTAGGTGAACACAGATAAACAGAGAGAGAGAGGGAGAGAGAGAGAGAGAGGAAGAAGATGNAGAAAGAAAAAGAGGAGGAAGAAGAGA